GGCAACACACCAACCAGGACCCAAGCCCCCGAGGCCCGGCCCGGGCCCCAGCCCAGAGACGGAGCGCCCCCAGAACCTCACGCCCATCCCGGACCCACCCAGGGGCAGCCAGGCTACCAGGTCAGTAACCCACGTCCGTCAGCACAGACCCTCCCCTAGCCCCGCTGCACGCAGCCGCGAGGATTGATTTTAAGTGTGCCGTATTTTCCAAAAAACACGGTAATAACGACGGCCCGCTAGCATGCGCTACCAAAAATAGTGCTTGTTGTCTGTTATCTGACGGACGAAAGCTAAACCAGTTCCACACCACTGAAGCTGCAGCATTTTTACAAACCAGTTCTGGTTCATCTGTTTCATTTAATGATCCACTTTCGCTCTTCTCATTCTCCATCGTCGCCATGCTTTTTCCACCATGTGTGTATGAAAACAAAGGCACTGCGCATGCGCGTTTTACCCATATTCTATCGCGATATTTCATTTTCTTAGCGTTGCCTAACATTATACTGGTATTACCATGAATGGTATGATATGACCCAGCCCTAACAGTGAGTGAACACTCTGGCAGCGAATTAGGCAGTACGTACACAGAAGGTGTGCTTCGTATGAAGCACGTGACGATTATACTATAAAAAAGAATTTATCTAAAAGTTTAGATGGATTTAGATACAAAGTTTAGAAAAGTGTCTAAAATTAAATTGTTATGCAGATAAGCTACTCAAACACACCACTGTGTGTTGGAACAGGAACAGAGAGTGAACACCAAGTGACAGCGCCACCAGAAGCATGCATTCAGGTTTAAGGATTTAGGTTTGAGTACGCTTTAGTGAGAATTAGTAACCTTTAAAGCAACATGAGGGAACTTCTACTTATGTCAGTGTTCTGTGATTTGGATGGCTTATCATAAAGCTATGTCCTCTAACTTTTCACCATTTTAATAGAATTTGAACACACACACACACACACACACACACACACACACACACACATGAATGCAGTTAGTCCTGTTCAGTGTGAGCTAACAAGTAAAAACCGGTATTTCACGAACCATTCATTGAAAATGTTCTACAGCTACACTGGCTGAAATTCAGTTGTCAAATAAGAGTACTGTAAAATAAAGCTGAAATAAACATGACTCAGAAATATCAGAAGTGCCTTAGATTAAGGTGTAACTCTTACAGTAGCTATATAACAAAGATAAAAATGGGGAGAGATGGCATCAAAGTTAGAGGGAGAAAGCAATTAAAGGAACTCGTGAAAATCAGATAAGAGCCATAAGTTGTAACCGGCATGTAAGTGCAGAGGTCCCAGGGATGGTGCCACAAAGACAAATATGAAATCCCTGCATTACAGGTAATGTTCAGGGGCAAGGAAATGCAGTTTACTTGGTTCACTTCCCTGCTGTTATTCAGTAGTGGGCAGAAGTCCAGCCCAGCTGTTAGCAACAGCTCATCCCTTCCCTGCTGCTCCACACTGGTCACCACTGCAAATCTACCTTTTCTCTTATTTTTTTCCTCTCACCCGCTGAACAGGACAGGTTTAACCTGGTTAAACCTGTCCTGTTCAGGACAGGTTTAACCAGGTTTAACAGAAAAGGACAGAAAAGAAAAGAAAGAAAAGAAAAAAACAACAGCTTGTGGTCAAAATAGCCATTCGTTTTTGCCTTAATCCTCGAATCTCTCCCAATTATTTTCTTACCGCATTAATGTTACCTTCCTCACTTCTTCTTCTGATGCTAACAGTGAGGCCTGGTTACTAGTTGTTGTTGGCATACGTCCCGACAGCTAATTTCAAGTAAGGAAATGAAATAAACTAAATGGAAAGATTAAGACCAAGGTGATCACAGTTACAGTTGAGTAATATGTGCAGTAGTAACCTTGGAAATAAAGAGCAAACAGCACTATTCTTCTACATCATTTCCTCGTCTGATTTCAGCCAGAACTCAAACTAAACCTGAAGTTATAAAAGCTTCTTGAAATCTGGAGTTCAGTGAGAAAGAGAAGCTTATTTCTGCCTTTTAGTTTAACGAAGCTGTTTGCAGCACAATCACTGTTTTATCAGCAAAAAAGGGTTGAACACAAACTCACCCGACACTCGTGAGACAGATTTTCCTTCCAGGTTCGTCCTCTCGTGCTGCCAGTCATCAGTTATTAAAATCAGTCCATATAGCCAACACACTGACTGAGTGCTTTCCTCTATATATTTCTTTTTCGTTTTAAAAGGTTTAGTTTAATTTGATTCGACGGAGGAATTTATTACTGCGCACCGACGCGAATGAAAGCGAAAGTATTTAACTGACCAGGTGTGCATTCCAATTTGCTTTTGAAGGTTTCCACTGTAAATGACGCAGACGCGGAAGTATCTGCGAGGTGGATATAGTAAGAGCTGCTCCAATTCTCCAAACACTAAAGAAAGGAGCTTCAATGTTTCCTTTATTGCCTCCTTTAGCACAGGATACACTGGACCATCCTTTATGAAAAGGGAGGAGAAAATGCCGTCCCATAATTCATTGCTGACCGCAATTGGGATCGATAATCTGACCATTCATCAAAGCCATCAACATAATAAAGTTGTACAGATCATTTAAATTGTAACTGCATTTTCTGTTTCACTCATAACCTGCTGGTATATTTATATGTTTTAACAACAGTCTGTTAAACTCTCAGCTGGACTCTGAACGTCACACTGCGGAATAAAAAACTACATTAATGTTGAGCTGAAGAAGGCAGAACGATATAAGACGGTGATCTTTATTAACCTAAAATAAGTGTGTTAATTTTTCTGTATAATCGGTGTTCATTAATAATGTCCTTTGCTTTAGGATTACTTTTTCCTTTAGTACACTGTAAAAACTGTGACTAGAGGTTACTTAAAAAACCTATGGCAACAAAGTGACGCTTAATTTACTTAAGTAGATTTTAATTTCAAGCGATTTATGTAAAATGTATATAAAATGTTAATTAAATTTCAACAAAAAACAACAGTATACATGAATAAAATTCAATTGTAAATATGTGTTGGATTTAGAGACAAAATCTCAAATTGGAGGTTAAAATTGCCTAATTGTAACAAAAAATAAATTCATTTGAAATAAATATAAAAATAAATAAATATAAGAATAAAAAATTACTAACATTTTAAATTTACTAACAATCTGGAAAAGGTTTAGTAAAAAATTACTAAAATATCCATCACAAAGAAATTATTTTTTTATTAACTTTATAAATAATGACTGAATGATAAGAGAAAATTAAATTAATTTAACTTCTTTTCTGAGTAAAATGAATCAATTTCACAAAGAGAAAATTCAAATAGTAATTGTTTTTATTGTGGAATATAAAAGGTATAAAAATGTATAATATAATATTTTTCTGCTTAATTTAGATTGTATGCACTGAAATTCTTCACTAGTGCTTGCCCCCAAAATAATAGGAAGAATAGGCCATAATTGAAGATACAGTTTCAGCCAACTTCTCGAGAATGTCAGTCTTTACTTTGGAGGTGGGCAGAAGATTTCCACTCTTTTTATACTCTCAGTGGCTCTTTCCAGGTACATTTCAGTTTCATGTGCAGACTGTGGAATGGGGAACAGCTTCGGCCAGGGCTCACAACGTTCTGTGAACTTCTGCCTTTTGAGAATAATGGTGTCCTGAGAAGATGTGGTTGCAGCAGAGTCTGCATTGGATACAACTGGATTGGATGATGAGTATAGTCAGTTGACAGCGCCCTGCTTTTTCTGCTGCCTTTATGGATTCTGGAATAATGAACTCCAACTGTAAAAAAATGGACATTCTTCATTCTACCTGCACTGATATCTTGGACTCGATTGCTCCGCTCAGGACTGCGCGCTAAGCATTTATCAGAGCCGTGGTTGAACGAATATACGCGCTCCCTCAGACGTGACTACAGACGCGCCGAAAGGAGATGGAAAAAAGACAGATTGCATGTTTCCCTACAGATTTTAAGGACTCGTCTTTCTGCTCACCAAGAAGCTGTAAAAACTGCAAAGACACAGTTTGTCTCAAACTTAGTGTCAGTAAACAGTCACAGGCCTCAGGTACTTTTTAACGTTCTTAATCGCTTTCTTAGTTCACGTGATAATTCTGGAGTCACTTCTTCACCAAGTATGTGCGATGATGTTTTAGCATTTTTTAATGACAAGAATCTATCGATTAGGGCTCTCGTCTCGTTGTCTGCTGCCTCAGATCAGAGTCCTTCTCCTGTGTGCTCAGCTGTCTTAGAGCAGTTTGATCCCGTCCCCCTTAAGGACTTGGCCGGGGTAGTTAGTAACCTAAGATCATCACACTGCCCCTCTGATCGTCTCCCTCCAAGCTTGCTTAAAAGCACTTTTAATACTGTTGGGCCTTTTATCCTGAGATTAATTAATATGTCCCTTGCTACAGGCTGCGTCCCATCATGCTTTAAACAAGCTGTAGTTCAGCCTCTTCTTAAAAAACAAAACCTGGACCCACCTGTTCTGTCCAACTACAGGCCTATCTCAAAGCTTCCTTTTCTATCTAAAGTCTTGGAGAAAGTGGTCTACCTACAGTTGCAGGCACACCTTGATTTTAATATGATCTCTGATAAATTTCAATCTGGTTTTAAATCACTACATAGCACTGAGACGGCACTTTTAAGGATTTTTAACGATATTCTTTTAACTCTGGACTCTGGCAGCCCTGCTGCCCTTTTATTGTT